TTCTTGGGAATGGGAATGATAGTAGAATGTTTGAAGCAAGAAGGCACACAGCACATCTCCAGTGATTTATTAAAGATACAAGTGAAGACAAGAGCCAGTTGATCAGCACAGACTTTCAAGCAAGAAGGTCTGGGCCTAGTGCTTTTCCAATATTTGTCTATGGCAGCGGTCTTCAAACTTGGCCCTTTTATGACTTGTGGACTTCAACTCCCAGAATTCCTCAGCCAGCCATGCTGGCTGAGGAATTCTGGGAGTTGAAGTCCACAAGTCATAAAAGGGCCAAGTTTGAAGACCCCTGGTCTATTGAATAGGCCTCTCACACCTTTTTCTAAGATCACCAGAGGTGGGGGGACCCAGAGGGATGGAGATAGGTGTAGGACATTTGGCTACTATTGGTGCATCTGAGATGAGGAAGGTTGTGGCAGATGACCATGAACTTCTTTCAGGCCTACAGTAGAACATATTGAGGTCATCTGCCAGTTGATGATTCCCTTCAGTAAGGGAGGGAGGTCTGCTGTAGCTTCTCCACATATTTGCTGGTTCATTAGCCGAGAACCGATTCCTCAGCTTTTCAAAGTACTTTTCTCTTTGCTACTCTGATCTCCCTGGCTAATACATTTCTGGCCTGATTGTACAACATCCTATCTCCTTTCCTGTAGACCTCTTCTTTGGCATGCTTGAACTTAGCTGAGAACCAAGCTTTATTATTACGTATGCGCAAGCTTCTGGTAGGCGTTTGGTAATGCACTATGTAAAAAAAAAATACGATTTTATTGTGAAGTTTGGCTGTGCTATCAGTTGGCAGTGTCGTTGGTATATATAAGCATACATTATTCCACACTTTCCTATGTTCTTGCACGTACATTTTAGTGAAACCTAGTGTTCCTTTGATTATTACTGATATTTTAGTGAAGACACTTTTAAGTCCTCTAAGGTGAGAGATGTCTCTGAAGCATATAGTTCTTCTGATATAATTGTAATTACAAGTGCTTGATAGAAACATTGTCATCATCTGGTATTGTCACACATCACACAAATTGCATAATTCATGTCATTTGTGAATTATCTGTATGTTATGATATCTGTATTCACAATTCAAGGCAGGTGTATATTGACCTCAGCCCTTCCCCACAGACACTGACAGAACTAAAACGTGTAAGTTAACACGTTTTCGCCGAGCCCTGAAGGCCCATCTATTCCGTGCGGCCGGCCTGGCGTAGTTTGATTATGTTTTAGTGGGGTTTTTGTATGGGGTATTTTTAGAGCAGGCCTGTTATTTAATTTGATTTTAGAACAGAAATTTGCGTATATTTATTGTGGTTTTTATTATCGCCTGTTCACCGCCCTGAGTCCCGTAAGGGAGATAGGGCGGTATATAAATTCAATAAATAATAATAATAAAAATAATAAATAATAATAATAACACAATCCGTGCCAGTCAGTGGCTACTGGTGAGCTTCCCCTATTTATTCATTTATGGGTGCAGAATTGGTAGCTTGGATTCGATGCGTATTAAAATATCTCACAGAACTTGTCAATGGATATATCTTATTTACATCTTTATTTAAACTTTTAAACAATACAACTTTCAAACATCCATGTATTTATACATACAGGCACTGTGCATATATTTATATTTATATATATATTTATATAAAAATATTTTTAACCCAAGAACCTAAGAGTCGAGAAGATTTTATTGCTACATTTTAGCATTTACATGAGAACGCAACCGAACAAAACAAATTTGAAAATCTCAAGCTGCTGAATAAACTACACTTGAACAAAAACAAAATTATAAAAATATAGCTTCTGAGACTCTTAAAAGAAAAAAATAAATCATCCAAGTGCCAATGAAGTACCGCTGTGCCTATAATTATTACAATTTTGTAAATAACTGCTATAAAAGCCAAAGAGCATTTTTTTTCTTGTAGCTTTAAAAGGTATGGGAAAGTAAAGTATGACAGAAGCCCTGTTTTCACTTTCTGTACAGAAATATACATTGAACTTGGGGAAAATATCCTATCACCTCTCTGTCTCCTGCACACTCAACAAAAATGCTATCTTGTTTTCACGTGTGACGATTATATCTGGTTAAAAGATGATTCTGCTCCTAGTCTTTCTGACTTCTGGGAGGTCTGTAGGAAAGATGCATTCACATCTTGAATAAAACGTGAATTTTTGCTGTCTTTGTAATTTGGGAATCTTAAGATGGCATACAGAACTACATCCCATTCAAATTGCATAGAATTGGCCGAACGGGCGAAGGTCAAGAGAAATAAGACAGCAGAATTCCTTCTGCAGTCCTATTCTCTACCCTTACACAGTGAAGAGCACGGAGGGAGAAACCTAAATAGGTAGATTCTTCCATACAATGGGGAATCTATTTTGCAAGGTTTCCAATCCTACATGTTCCAAGCCTACCAGTGTTGAGTTACACAAGGAGGAGAATCCCTTTCATGCATTCTTGTACAGATTGGAAAATGTCAACGGTTGACCACCAGATGCCTGGTATGTGTTCTGAATGTGAAACAGGGCTAAGAACAGCCTTCTCCAGTGGGGCCATTTAGGTAAGGTAGACCTCTAGCTCTCCTAGCTCCCTCAGCTGGAATGGTCAGTCCAACGACTCCGTTGAGCAGGTAAGGTTTTGAGGTACCCACAAATAATTTGCAGAATCTTCCCCTTTATCAGAATACGAAGATCTGCTGCATGTTGCAAGGAGAACCTAGTACTCATACAGAGTCTATTCCCTTCACAGAAGAGAATGGGATGCCTAGAGCTTGGACTAAGCCATTCCTCAAAGCCCTGGCAAAATTTGGAAAGATGGAACAGGATAACATCTCCAGTGAAAGGGTCTATAAAACTGGCCAACCCACTTCTGTAGCTATAACCTTAAACAACATAGAAGAATACCTAATTATAGATCAGATTACAGAGCGGAGGCTAATGGTATATTTAAGCTGAGGAGGACATCAGGAGTGGATTTTAATTATCTTGCATTTGGAGAAGTATTTAATAACATTGCAGTAGGGTAAATGATTGCTTTTATCGGAAATATATGTGAATGTTTAACAGTACAGTAAAGGTAAATAACAGAATGTGAAGGCCTAGTGCATTCTAAATAAATAAATACTTTAGAATTTGTTAGGAGATTTATTTAGAAGTCTTTTCTGGATGTTTTGGATTTAAGGAAAGATGCACTTTCCGGAAAAAAAAAATACCAATGGGCATAGATAACTGATGTTTACCAGCTAATACTCTGATTTTAACATGTTATTAGTCATTTTTCTCAATGCTGACATACCCAAATACTAAGCAACACAGGTAAATAAGACGTTCCCAGATGTAACTCAGAAATGGTTTACCTCTAATACTTTTTCAAAGTATAGGAAAATGCACCCCTGATCAAATTTGTGGAATTTATCCAATATATTTGACTGATTTAAATACACGCTGTCGCACATATGCACAAATTCAACAAGTGAGCCATCTTTTCACTCATATCAGTTCAATCTACAGGAGCTACACAAAGAATATATCACGATCGCTTTTGAAACACAAGTAGACGTTGTCTTCACCAGACTAGGAAATCCACCATATTTGATGTTACACTTTTTTTTACACCCTCTTACAGATGAAGATACTTTGTTAATATGGAAGCCACCATGTGACAGTCCAATTTTTTTTCTTCCCAGTATATGCTGCGGGAAACAATCGGAACTACCGCATCTGAGCAACAAATTCTGAACAACCACTAAACGGCAGCAAAGAGTCATGGAAAACTCTTAAAATTCTCTGCTCACACCTAGTGGTTCAGCTGGTAGTTGCAGGCCAGATACAGCAGCCCTGAACATAAGACAAAAAAAGCAATGAGAAAGCACTACCAGGTACAGAAAATATATCTGTTAGAACAGGGGTCCTCAAACTTGGCCCTTTTATGACTTGTGGACTTCAACTCCCAGAATTCCTCAGTCAGCATGGCTGACTGAGGAATTCTGGGAGTTGAAGTCCACAAGTCATAAAAGGGCCAAGTTTGAGGACCCCTGTGTTAGAACGTGAACCCTGTAAAGAAAAATGAGGCTGGTAAATTCTTTTTTGTCCCTCTCACGTTATATATTTTCTGCTTAGAGCATTGTTTCTTCAACCTTGGCAACTTTGAGATTTTAACTTCCAGATTTCCTCAGCTAGCCAGCCTGGTGGCCAAGGTTGAGAAACACTGGCCTAGAGTGAAAAATTTGGAAATACTGAACTAAGGTATAAGCGAGGTGGAACTGGCTGTTTTCAATCCCCATACTCAAAGCTAGGGAATCTGTGGTTCTCCAAAAAGTTACAATTTTAACATCCATGACTACAAGCTTGCTTCACAGCCACAAGTTCCTCAACTTCATACTTGGAATAAGTTCTGTTTGATGCTCATTCAAGATTTATTTCTCAACCAACTGTTACCTCCTTGGATTTGGAATGTCAGTTTTTTTGCTTTCACTTCTAACCCCTTTAGATTTGGGAAATAATGGAGATTGCTCAAATATTTGCTCTTCCACGCTCAATACATCAACTTTTTGGACTTCTGATGCCTTTCATATAATGCTCTTTTTAAAAAACACAAAAACAACCTATACTTATTTTTGAAACTATTTCCCACTCCCAAATCTGATTCTACATTACAATTGCCTATAACACAGCAATTATACAACTTCTAGTAAGCAGTGTTAACAATGGTATGGGAGGTCTAATTTTGTACGTGATTAAAAAGAAAACAACACAAAGCAAGTACTGCAGTACTCCTACTAACCATTAGAGCAGGGGTCTTCAAACTTGGCCCTTTTCTGACTTGTGGACTTCAACTCCCAGAATTCCTCAGCCAGGCACGCTGGCTGAGGAATTCTGGGAGTTGAAGTCCACAAGTCATAAAAGGGCCAAGTTTGAAGACCCCTGCATTAGAGCAACAGATTGTCATTTTGAAACCGTACATTCTCCAGCAAGATTGGCCGAGTCTTTTTTCAAACGTCCTCGTGCGTGAGTAAGGGTTGAGTAGATGAAGCGCTGCTACCCACTGAGTTAATTCTTACGGAGTGATCTGTAGCATTTCCTTGACTACAAATGCCATTTGAAACATTTGAGTAAATCTGGAAAAGAGATGAATTAGAATCAGTCTATTGGACACAACACCAAACCACCCATACATTTTTTGCATCTAATCTGCGAAAGCAAATGCTGTCTTGCCTTCAACAATCTGATAACATGTATTACAAAAGCTCAAGCCACTGTAATTTTAGTGACTGCTTTTTGCTTGCTCAGAACATTGATTCTGTTTATGATTTCTTGGCTTTATATCTACATTTTATAGAGATTTCAATTACCCTATGATGAGAGGCAATCAACAAACGTCTCTTTATACTTATTTCAATGTATGTTTGCAATGCTATTAATAACCTCAACATTTTTCTTTAAAAAAAAAAGATAATTTATTTTAATACAATGCTAATAATAACCTCAACATTGTTTTTTTAGAAAAGATAATTTTACTTTAAGAACCTGTCCTCTTAGTTTTACCTTTGTTAAGTTAATGACACAGTTGTTAAGTGAATCTGGATTTCCCATGGCCTCCAACCTTTTGGACACCAGGGACTGGTTCCATGGAGACAGGTTTTTCCCTGGATCGGAGGGGGCGTGGTTTTATGTACTGCCTGCATCCCATGGATGGGGCTTAGCTTGTCAGAAAGTCTCAAAAGTGGATCACATGACCCCGGGATGCTGCAACTGTCATAAATATGAATTAGCTGCCAAGCAGCTGAATTTTGATCATGTGATCATAGGGATGCTGCAATGGATGTTAAGTGTGAAAAACGGCCATAACTCCCTTTTTTGGGTGCTGTTGTAACTTTGAACAGTCACTAAATGAACTGTTGTAAATCGAGGACGACCTATAGAAGTAAATATTAGAGACTTGCAACAGTCTCTCCCATTCCCAACTAAGTACTTATACAAATGCTATAGGTCAGTGATGGCGAACCTTTTAGAGACCGAGGGCCCCAAAACCCCCCTGCCCGCCTGCAGGGCCACCCACCACCTCCACGGCCCACCCCAGATCGCCCAGGCGGCCCAGCGGCACCATGGTAGCCACACCCTCTGCTTGCGCCCCGCAGCATCATCTGCGCACAACGGGGCGCGAAGGCAGAGTCTTGTCCCCGCTGCCTGGCTGCCATATCCTTGGCTGCACTGCTCTGTGCAGGCCGCGCTCGGGGGTGACTCTCCTCCGGGGGGCTGCTGGTGAGGGGGCCATGGGGGGAGGGGGGCTGGGGTGACGGTGCGCATGCCCACGGAGATGGCTCTGAGTACCGGCTCTGGCACGTGTGCCATAGGTTCATCACTACTGCTACAGGTCTAAATGTGGCCTATACCAGCGGCCTCCAACCTTTTGGACACCAGGGACCGGTTCCATGGAGACAGGTTTTTCCCTGGACCGGAGGGGGCGTGGTTTCATGTACTGCCTGCATCCCATGGATGGGGCTTAGCTTGTTTGCGCGGCCCGGTTTCTGGCATGCCACGGACTTTGTGGTTGGGGACCCCTGGCCTATACTGATTGGAATCTACTTCACTGGCCATTTTCAGTCACATTAAACAAGCCATGTGACACATTCACACCAAAAGAAACTGTTCACACTGAATCCAGACAAAACAGTCACGGTGGAAGCAAAATAACTACACACCCTGCATGCTTTCAAAAAGGATTCTACTCGTTTTAACACCCAGCTTCACACTTCCTCACTGATGAACAAAGAGATGGCTTCAAGTGTGAAAAAGCAAGGAAGCATCAAGAGGAGACAAAACAGCTGAGTCCAGCTGCAATCTGTGCCTTCAGATGAGAATATAGCCATACCAGCAAGAGACAAAAGAAGAGAAAAAATAATCATGGGTGAATCACGAGCACGATGCCAAAATGGACAACCTAGTACAGGATCTATGCATTTATTAAATTTGTATGGCCGCCCATTTCACAAGAAGTGACTGTGGATGGCATACAACAAAAAATATAAAACAGTAACATGTCAGAAATAGTCATATTAAAAGGTTAAAAAAAATGAAAGGGAGTCACCTCAAGATAGGGAGTCACCCTAGGCGGGATCACCTAGCTAGATTTTGAGACACTTCTAGAAAATCAGTAGGGATAGAAATGATCTCACTTAGGGGGTACATGGCAGAGAAGAACCATTGTGTGCAGTTCCCTGACAGATGGGATCCGTAGCAGGCATCTCGTGCCCAATCTGATGGGACATTTAAGCCATTCAGTCAACAAGACCGAGGAAGAAGTAAAGTTGCTCATAAACAAAATTATTTGGAAAAGTCAATAAGAATCAAGGATAACTAAGTCCTCATACCTCTACGGCCTGCCGTAAACTGACAAGCCAGAAATCCCTCTGCAACCAATTGTCAGCTTCATTGGAACAACAAGTTGCAAAACATCTGGTCAATATACTAAACTCACATCAGGAAAACACTGAAATCTGCCATAAACAACTGTGAAGTATTTACGGAAAGGATTAAAAGAAAAACGATCAAGACTCGGTTAGTAGAATAACAAAATGCAATAAGACCCCAATGTATTGGGGTATGTAAATATCTTCATAAATGACTTACAGTAGATGAGGGAACAGAAGGGGAACTCATCAAATTTGCACATGGCTCTAAGCTGGCAGGAATAGCCAACACCCCAGAAGACAAGGTCAGGATCCAAAAAGGTCTTGACAAACAACGGGCCCTATCCAACAACATGAATTTTAATGTGGAGAAAAGCAAGGTTTTACACTTAGGCAGGAAAAACCAAAGGTACAAGTACAGATTAGGCAAAACCTGGTTCAAAAAAAGAAACATTGAGAGGGACCTTGGAGTCCTACTAGATCAGTGGTTCTCAACCTTTTTAATGCCGCGACCCCAACCGGTCGTAAGTTGAGGACTAAACCGGTCGTAAGTCGAGGACTAAACCGGTCGTAAGTTGAGGATTACCCAACCGGTCGTAAGACGAGGACTTTCCCTGCCCGGGAGCGCCGTGCATGCGTGGTTCCGCCCCCTGCGCCGGCTGAGGCGTAGCTGGCAAGCGGCAGAGATAGAGCAGGCCGACCACCAGCTGGCCCAGCCCAAGGGAGGTAAGGCACCCACCGGAAAAGGGGGAAAAAATGGCGGACAAAAAAAATGGCGGACAGCCTTGCTTGGCGACCCCCATGAAATGGTCGATCGACCCCAAATGGGGTCCCGACCCACAGGTTGAGAACCACTGTACTAGATGATCACTTAAATATGAGCCAGCAGTGTGCAGCAGCAGCAGCCAAAAAAGCTATGCAATCCTTGGTTGTATAAACAGAGGCATAGAATCAAAATTAGTACCGCTTTATAAAGCCTTAGTAAGGTCACACCTGGAATATTGCATCCAGTTTTGGTCACATTACAAAAAAGATGTTGAGACTTTGGAAAAAGTGCAAAGAAGAGACAACTAAGATGATTAAAGACCTGGAGATGAATACATATGAAGAATAGTTGCAGGATTTGGGTTTGGCTAGTCTAAGAGAAAAGAAGAACTAGGGGTGACATGATAGAAGTATTCCCATATCTGAGATGCTGCCACAAAGAGGAAGGGGTCAACTTATTTTCCAAAGCACCAGAAGGCAAGACAAGAAACAATGGATGGAAACTAATCAAAGGGAGAAGCAACCTGGAACTAAGGAGAAACTTCCTAACCGTGAGGACAATTAACTAGAGGAACAGCTTGCCTTCAGAAGTTGTAGGTGCTTCATCACTGGAGGTTTTTAAGAAGATACTGGACAGTCCTTTGTCTGAAATGGTATAGGGTCCCCTGTTTGAACAGGAGGTTGGACTAGAAGACCTCCAAGGTCCCTTCCAGTTTTAGTCTGATTGATTATTGAAAAAAAAAGGTAGAGCAGCTGAACACTGCATAAAGTGCTACTGCACTGGGAAAAAAACATGACATTCCTAGCCTCTGAAGACAATAAACGAAAAAGGAATATCCAGAAAACAATTTAAGTGGAAACAACTAATCTGAAAAGGTTTGGAATACAGAATTCCTTGGACAATAAAAAAAACAATCAGCGGGATTAATGACAGGATCTGTCCAATGGGAAATTAACCATTACTTTTAACTTGCTTGATGACAATTAGTTTATTGCAGAAATGATGCATGGTTATATACTATTATTTGTGTTGTGCATTAAACAATTGATTTTTTGTTGTTGATTGCAGATGGCAGTGAAGGAAGTTCATATAGAACCACCAAATATTTCGTTATTATGTGACCCACACTGTCCTGAAACAACGCTAGGGAATAAAAGCTTCTTGTCTAATGCCTAGAATTGTAGGTGCATAGTTGTTTTGCTGAAACTTTGCATAAGCTATTCAATTTTAATTCCACCTTTTAATTTGTAAAGTTCTTTTTTTTCTTTTTCTTTTTAAATTTTTAAATTTTTTAAACCAACAAAACAAAACATAACACAACACACATACACACACAGTGTATACTCCTCCCTTTTTTTAACAGCGATTTCGTAACGGTAATCTTCTATTATTTACATTTCCCCCCCTTATTCTTCTTTAGAATATTTGTCCTTGTTGCCCCGTTGTTTCTTATTTTTCTTCCTTCATACTATACTTCATACTAAGAATAATACATATTATTATTACTATACATTATTATACACACATTTTCCACTTTTGACCTTTCCACATTTATTCTCCTCTATTATTTCTAGTCTCCAACCAGTCATACCACTTGTTCCATGTTAGATAATACTCTGTGTCTTCCTTTTCTTTTACCTCTTTTGTTAATTTGTCCATTTCAGCACAGTCCAGGATTTTCCTTATCACTTCTTCCTCTGATGGTATATTCTCATTTTTCCAGAACTGTGCGTATGCTATTCTTGCTGCCGTTGTTATACGTAGAATTAAGTACCGTATTTCTTAATTTGTAAAGTTCTAGGTGGTTTATTGAAATTCGACTGAAAATTAATTCCACTATCCTTAGCATCACTCATTACCACACAGTCACACTGGGAATGCGGTATGCCACTTGGATTACAGTGTGGCTTTGGAATAGCAACTGCTGGTTTGTGTTAAGCAACTACGATGGTCTGTCTCATTTCCCTTCCTTGACTGGCTGACAGTTGAAAGACTACACTCACTGTCTCCAATTTCCTAAGATACATATTTTTGACAGAACAATGACAAACAGCACACCAAGGCTGCAAACTAAGGTTTAAACTCTGCAGTTGATTAGTTGTGTGCCATTTGTATTATAATGCAAAAAAACAACAAAAAAAGAGCACTCTTTGAGTGCAAAGTGGTCTCTAGTTTTGTTGGTTTTTTTCCAAGTCTTTGCTAGTAGATTGGCATTTGCTTACAGCAGTGGTTCTCAACCTTTTTAATGCCGCGACCCCAACCGGTCGTAAGTCGAGGGCTAAACCGGTCGTAAGTCGAGGACTAAACCGGTCGTAAGTCGAGGACTACCCAACCGGTCGTAAGTCGAGGACTTTCCCTGCCTGGGAGCGCCACGCATGCATGGTTCCTCCCCCTGCGCCGGCCGAGGCGTAGCTGGCAAGCGGCAGAGACGGAGCAGGCCGACCACCAGCTGGCCCAGCTCAAGGGAGGTAAGGCACCCGCCGGAAAAGGGGGAAAAAAATGGCGGACAGCCTTGCTTGGCGACCCCCGTGAAATGGTCGATCGATCCCAAATGGGGTCGCGACCCATAGGTTGAGAACCGCTGGCTTACAGATAGTCCTCATTTAATGACCACAACTGGGACTGGCAACCCAGTGGCTAAATGAAACAGTCATTAAGTGAAACCACAACTGTGCTTTGTTCGTCTTACTTCAGCTTTCTTTTGCTTTACAGACTTGCGACGGCTAAACTGTAAAGGTGAGGATTCATCAAAAAGTGACCTTTTCATCAGTGTGGTGAATTGTGAAATGGGTTGCTAAACGAGGACTACCTGTACAGATAGTCCTTGACTTACAATAGTTTATTTAGTGACCGTTCAACATTAAAATAGCACTTAAAAAAAGGGACAAGGCTGTTTTTGCACACTTACGATCCACGGTCAGGTGATCAAAATTCAGACGCTTGGCAACTGACTCACATTTATGACGGTTGCAGAGTCCTGGGGTCATGTGACTCCCTTTGGCAACCTTCTGAACCGCAAAGTCAACGGAGAAACCATATTCGTTTAACAACTGGGTTATTAATTTAACCATCGCGGTGATTCCCTTCACAAATTTGGCAAGAAAAGCCGCAAAATGGGGCAAAACTCACTCAGCCAATTTCTCGCTCAGGAACATAAATTTTGGGCTCAGTTGTGGTCGTAAGCCGAGGACTCCCTGTATTACCTTTCACTAAACGGGCAGCCTTCTTTCACTGAGTTCAAGGGAAAGTGTCAACTGCTTTTTAACTGAGTTCGGTTAAAGGGTTCAGTTGGCTGGGAACTACAGTATATTACAGTGATGGTGAACCTTTTAGAGACCGAGTGCCCAAACTGCAACCCAAAACCCACTTATTTATCACCAGGTGCCAGGTGGGCGTGGCCCACTGGGTGGGCATGGCTGTGGTCATGGCAGACTGGGTGGGTGTGGCCAAGGTGGGCGTGATCACCTCGATGTTGCTCATGGAGAGGGATGCCTGTGGGGGCCAGGCAGGGTTCGGGGAGATCCAGGGGGTCTCTGGCAGGTGGGGCAGTGGGCAGGAGGCTCGTCCTGCAGGATGAGGCGAGGCAAGGCAGGGCAGGGCAGGGGTGCCATTGTTGCAGGGCGAGGCAGGGGCCGGGGCGGCTGCTGCCTGACACCATCAGCCCCCGCACACAGAGGCCAGCGAGCGCATGGGGGCTAACAGTGTCTGTCAGCAGCCACAGCCTGCCGGCCCCTTGACCGGTGGACTCTGGGGCTCCGGAGCCCGCCACCAGAAGTTCAGAGAAGCCGCCTCTGAGCTGGACAGACGGCCAACAGCTGAGGAGGCGATGCAGTGGGTCGTGCCCGGGAAAGAGGAGAGCATGCAAGGCCAAGAGGGATGGGACCGGGGGGAGGGAACCAGCCGTGCTGGGATGCATCTGGCCACGTGGGACCTCGGCGAGTTAGCGGGCGGCTGGTTGAAGAGCGGCGGTTGCCATCTCCGGGGCATGGCGCGCGTGCCCACAGAGAGGGCTCCAAGTGCCGCCTCTGGCACGCGTGCCATAGGTTCACCACCACTGGTATATTATAATAACATTTGCTGTCCCCTCTGCCAATTCTTATCCTAGTCTTTTTTGGTTTGGTTTGTCCTCATGTGGAGTGGGGTAGACTGAGTAAACGGCAAAGGAACAGATTAAACCCTCCGTCTTCACATACTTCATCCCTTCTGAAGGTCACAGTTGGCAGGAAACTAAGCCCGCCCCCCCAAAAAAAGACAGTGATAAGAATGTGCTGAGGTTAGGACCAGTGTGTGTTTTGGTTCTGACAGGCAGTTAGCCCATAAAGTGGAAACTTTATTGCCTAAGTCAACAAAGAGACAGAAGGAGAAGAACACTTTTGTCAAAGCTCACCAACCTCTGCTGAATAGCTGGGGGAGGTTGTGTGTTTTGACACTTCTATAGGTAAGTCCTGGACTTGTAACCGTTCATTTAGTGACTTTTCAAAGTTACACCGGCACTGAAAAATGTGACTTACGACCGTTTTTCACAGCTCCGACCTTTGAAGCATTCCCACGATCGTGTGGGTCAAAATTCAGATGCTGGGCAAGGGGTTCATACTTACGACCGCGGTTGCATCCCAGGGTCACGTGATGCCCTTTTGCGGCCTTCTGACAAGCAAAGTCAACGGGGAAGCCATTCGCTTAACAACCGGGTTACTATTTTATCAACTGCAGTGATTCACTTAACAACGGTGGTAAGAAAGACTGTAAAATGGGGCAAAACCCACCTAACAACAGAAATGTTGGGGCTCAATTGTAGCCGTATGTCAAGGCTATGTTTGTATTGTATCCTCCTGTTTTACTATGGTTGGTATAGCTGGAGAGAGAAAATGGGTCCCTCTTCCAATTCTCCAAACTCACCGTTTAGTACTTTTTTTAAAGCTTTGATAAAGCCGTACTTCCAACTCAACCTCTTCCCAAAAAATTCAGCGGCCCACAAGGCGTGCTGAATAAAGCTGAGGGGCATCTTTCTTTCAAAAGCCAAGCTTCTCAAAAGTCAGGTCCCTGCTTTTATCTGTAAGTTATATGATTTATCTTTTGGATGAGACGAATGGAATGCCCCATAAAAAAAGATCTATGAACAACGATCACCCAACGTTGACCCTCCCGGTAGTCTCCCTTTGGGAGCTTCGCTGCAATTCTCAATGCTCACATGACTTGTGGTGTCGGAAATCTGTTGTTCAATCAGTTGTACAATTTGCTTGAAGGTTGGCCTCTTCACAGGATCGGCATCCCAGCAACACTTCATGGTGTTGAAGCTACAGAAAACAGAATGAACCGAATGGATATCATTCGTCTTCTTAAATATCACAATCCTTTCTCGCTAGTTCGTTTTGCTAACCGTTGGTAGATGTTTTCCCATGTTTTAAAATAGACTTGAGTCTTCTTTCTCTTTAATCTCTAAGGTTAGTCTGTCCATTTCTGCACATTCTAAAAATGTTCCTGATTATGATCTCATCAGATGGTATATTTTCATTTTTCCAATATTGATACTTAATAAGATGAATGATAGCTACTGATTAATTGATAACTCTTTGTGATTACTGTTATTCTTATTGACTATAGCTATTTACTACTACATTAATTACTGTTACCGAATATATGTACCCGGACGATAGTCTGCTTGCTAAAGCTTGGAAATGTTATTGGGGGCAACCCCATTGTTGTACCTACCCCTATCCCAACCCCATCCCTGAACCCCACTACCTATACTGACCCTATCCCTCCCCTAATCTTATAAAACTTAATAAAATATTGTATATAAAATAGAATGAACCGAATGGAAACATCAGTCGTAATTTTAGAACGTTTTTAGGGCTTTGAGAAAAATTCATAGGCGTGCAATTTGGTTTATTTTTCCAAAGCCAACCGTTAGTTTAATCACCAAAAGCATGAAACTGCCTTCTCAAAAGAATCCTGAAAAATGCAACGTGTGTCTAAAGACCCAGCCTCCCATTTGTCACACAGTACTAGATCAAGGATAATCATCGTGCTTTTATATTATATTCCTTGGACACTGAAAGAATTCTGCTATGGAGCGTGCTGGAATTGCATATGCATTTTTTTTATTCCCAATGCGAATGAATGCTAGTATGACAGTCTGCAAGGGTTCATAACTCCTTGAAGTATATCGTAAGGAACTCTAGAAGAGCTGAACTTATTTTATTAAGTAGTGAGATAGGCATACCTTTTTTTCTGGAATGCTCACATGATCATCCAATGTTGCACAGTCACATAGGCATTCCAGAAAAAAAAATTAAACTGGTTGACGAACTTATTAATTTTATTTACATGCTAAAATACACATACATACATATGCACAGATATTCTTATAGATGTACTGGAAATAAATGCAACGATGATGTTTTATTTACTTTTCAATTAACAGAATAACTGAGTAACAGAGTTGGAAGGGACCTTGGAGATCTTCTAGTCTAACCCCCTGCTCAGGCAGGAAAATACATTTCTGCTGATTTTTAGGAGAGTAGCTACCGTGTTTCCCCTGAAAATAAGACTCAACCAGAAAATAAGCCCAAGCATGATTTTTCAGGATGCTCGTAATATAAGTCCCACCTCAAAAATAAGCCCCAGTTAAGATAGTCAGCCAGACAGATGCATTTAATATCATATTTCTCCAAATATAAGCCCTAACTGGAAAATAAGCCCTAATGCGTCTTTTGGAGCAAAAATTAATATAAGACCTGGTCTTATTTTCGGAGAAACATGGTATTGACACAGGGCAAAATACCAATGTACTATTCAGGGCAAAAAAACATTTTGTCCCTAATCTATAAGAAGACAATATCTTATAACTGGAAAACCAATGATCAAGATCAATTATTAAATGGATGAATTGGCTGTACACCAGTGAAAGCCAGTTGCACCAGACCATAGTGAAATGGACATAAAACTTGGCTTAACTGTGATGATGATGGTTGCTGTTATTCAGATCGCTGCTATTCGCATAAGGAAATCAAATAACTTCCATGGACCTTCTATGCATACCACAATGGTGCATACCATTGTGGTCACACCACAATGGGTTAATTTGAAAACATTTGGAAGTATTGGACAAGGTCTACTGACAATTTGCCATGGCCAACTCACCATGGCCGACTGACGTCAGCCAACGCTCCACAGGACACTTTTTTTGCGGGAGAAAAGTTACACTAATATCGAAGAAATTATGAAAAGAATAATTAAAGAAAGGGTGCAAAAGGAAGAACAGAATGAAATGCAAATGGTAAAAATTAAAATAAATTTTAATTTATTTTAAATAATTAAATAGAATTGTTAAATCGTCCCACAGTTGAGCTGTCCCATGGTGAGTTGGCCGTGGCGAGTTGGACGTGGTGAATTTGCCATGGCGCGTCGGCCCCAGTGAGTTGGCCGTAGCAAGTGGTCCCCTTTCCTCGGACAATGCATGCGAGCGCGAATAAATGTGGGATATTGACTGAGCAGGATGTGTGGTCCCAATGGGATGAAAAGAAAGCACCATGGCTAACTGTAACTCAGTTTCTTTTCCACGGTATCAATTCAAACGGAATTCTACAAAATTGGCAAACATATGAAAATGCGAGAAGGTACCTATGATTTACTCTACTACTGAAACTTACAAAAAGCCAGCCTAAAATAAAACAAGCATTTTCATCAAAATCTGATAATCGGGTGTTTTGAAACGTTAAATAAATTCAGACTCACATTTCTGGAGGGGCGTATTCCGGACTAAACATTCTGTATCCTTCCTTAATATTTTTATAGAACTTGGAATCCACAGGCATTCCGGGATAGGGGCTGCTTCCTATTCAACAAGAAGCTATCTATTAATATATCATTTTAATTACATATTTATTTGTATTTATTAATCACCCAGTCCAATGGGCTCTGTTTTAAATGGATTTATGTTTTAAAAATGAGAGTGATAAAACATCCAGGAAATAAATATAGGTAGTCCTCAACGTACAATCGCAATTAAGCCCAAAATTTGTGTGGCTAAGTGAGACATTTGTTAAGAGAGTTTTTGCCCGTTTCTTGCCACAGATGTTAAGTGAATCCCTGCAACTGTTGAGTTAGTAACGTGGTTGTTAAATGAATCTGGCTCCCCCACTGACTTGGCTTGCCAGAAAGGTGCAAAAGAGGATCACATGACCCTGGGACACTGCGACTGTCGTAAAGACGAGTCAGTTGCCAAGCGTCCGAATTCTGATCACATGACCCTGGGGATGCAGTAACAGTCATTAAAGCGTGAAAAATAGTCACAGGTCACTTTTTTCTATGGTCTTGTAACTATGGATAGTTACTAAGTGAACTGTTGTAAGTGGAGGACTACCAGTATATAGGACATATTTGATCACCTAAAGAGAAGAGTTCCCAAAGCAGAATTCCATAAGACCAAACGTCGCTCTCAAAGGTATACACACATTCAAAAATACTCTCAGGTGCCATCCATTTGACGGGAAGCCGTGCCTGGGTAGACAAAGGAAGAAAGTGTTACAGAAATAATGGATAAACGATCTTACCCTATCCAAGGTAAAAATCAACCATTATTTGACACAGCTTTCAACGGATTAAACATTTAGTCTGATGCCTCAGTTAGCTTTCAGTACATTTAATTGTTAATTAATCCTATTGTTATAAAAAAAAAATTGTTGTTGTTGTTAGTTGCGAAGTCGTGTCCGGCCCATCGTGACCCCATGGACGATGTTCCTCCAGGCCTTCCTGTCCTCTACCATCTTCTGGAGTACATTTAAGCTCACGCCTACTGCTTCAGTGACTCCATCCAACCACCTCATTCTCTGTCGTCCCCTTCTTCTATTGCCTTCAATCTTTCCCAGCCATTAGGCTCTTCTCCAGTGAGTCATTCCTTCTCATTAGGTGGCCAAAGTACTTGAGTTTCCACTTCAGGATCTGGCCTTCTAAAAAGCAGTCAGGGTTGATCTCTTCTAGGACTGACCGGTTTGATCGCCTTGCAGTCCAGGAGACTCGCAGGAGTCTTCTCCAGCACCAGAGTTCAAAGGCCTCAATTCTTTGGCGCTCAGCCTTTCTTATGGTCCAACATTCACAGCCATACATTGCAACTGGGAAAACCATGGCCTTGACTATATGTACTTTTGTTGGCAGGGTGATATCTCTGCTTTTTAGTATGCTGTCTAGATTTGCCATAGCTTTCCTCCCCAGGAACAAAGGATAAATTTGCACGTTATCAAATATATAATAAAAACAGTCTGCCATTGCTGGAAGGGACACTACAAGAATACTAAAAAATAATATATTATTTTTGTTCCCATTCAACAATTAAGAGACCAAATGCCCTGAGAACTTGTACTTTTTTTCCTTTGGGGAAGAATATCAGCAATGGGAAGAGCAGATTGAAACCAAACAAGAAATGGGAATTATTGTCTCTCTTTTACCCTCCCTTTCAGAATGAACACATTTGATCCTGGAGGGAATGGTCAGTAAATTAATAAATTAAGGATAGTGTCCAAACTTTATCAATACTCTTAAACATGCTGCTAACTTCAACCCTGGGCTAAATTAAAATTTAGCTTCCGAGCTTGTTAGCTAAAGCTTCTGTTGAGATGAATAATAAAAGTTTTTTAATAATTATGCAGCAAATTGATTCTGATCAAAGAAGAAATGTACAATAGAAATGGGCACTGATTGTCCATATAATACTAAACAATCCCACAAAGATACTGAAAGAAATGTTATTTCAAAGGATTTATGAAACTTCAATCTGTCAAATAGAAGTGACTCCAATCTGCTTTTCATGAATGAGTGAGTGAATTCCTTTCCTGGCTGCTCCATTGGGATACCATATCATTTGACCCTAATTCAGTTTGATTGCAGTTGTATCTGAGCGCCACGTTGTCAGTTGTGTGGCCTGGTATACATTAGATTTAATTTGCCACAATCCTCCAGTTAAACTGACCAAAGACTTTAACTTGAGGAAAATCATTTTCCTGTATCCTATGGCTATTGTTTTCATGAATCCCATATATTCTGTACTTTTATGAATTTAAAATTCATGTCTTCATCCAGTTGCAAATCCTTTCAAGTCAAAATCTTGTAAACACAGCTTTAAATTATTACCCAAAGAACCATATAACCCGTTTTAAGTAATCAAGCAAAAGTTGGATCTTGGACAGAACTTGGACTACATTAAAAAAAAAAACAACCTCTGGAATTTGGGTGTTATGTTTTTTAATCACTACTATACATTTCGTGTTCTTTGTTACAATTTCTATAGCAAAGTATTGATTATTATTGTTGGCTTTGTTACTGAAGTTAACAGTTAAACCAGACTACTTTAGTGGATCTTATTATACATTTCATCCAATGATAACCACTGCATGATACAAGAACCACAAATTTATTCTGAAGTTTAGGAAAGTAAACTTCTTCATTCCTGTTTCTATGAATTCTATGAAGCAACAAAGCCTTTAAATTAAAGTGGTAAACTCTGTATCAAGAATGAATGTAAACATTCATGCTAAAAACCAGATGAAATGCTGACTCCTGTCATTTCTGAGAGGGATCGGTATTTCCTTAACATGTGCTTTAGGTTAGATCAGATACAGAGAAGGAACATCTTCTGCCTTCTTGGGTCCAGTTACAAATACCCTTTTTTCTAAACCATTCCGAACACAGAACAGGCAATTCAAGATAGCGAAAGCTCCTAATCCAAGCAAATGGGATGCAATTTACCTACTATCCATCTGCAAGCTCTTATCCTGCAACCAAGTTGTGGATAATTAGTCAGAGGCTAGAAATTATATCTGATCTCACCATTCATTTGGTCAGTGTACGCTGTTGTTATTAAGGGGCTTTCAGACACGAGTTTGCTTGCTTTTGTGTAATAATATTGGTTAGCTCCGTGAAATGCCTGCATCCCACTTTGAATTTAACAGGAAAAGCAGTGGCAGAAAGAAAAAAAAAATCTGCTAAAAGGAAGAAACACAGGTTTTTGTGTTCCAGCCTAATAACAACAACAACAACAACAACAACAACAACAATAATAATAATAATAATTTGAAAGGGATCTTGGAGGTCATCTAGTCCAATCCCCTGCTCAAACAGGAAACCCTATACCATTTCGGACAAACGGCTGTCCAGTCTCTTCTTAAAAACTTCCAGTGTTGGAGCATTCACTGCTTCTGGAGGCAGGTTGTTCCACTAATTAATTGTTCTCCCTGTCAGGAAGTTTCTCCTTAGTTCTTGGTTGCTTCTTTCCTTGATCAGTTTCCATCCGTTGCTTCTTGTCCTGCCTTCAGGCGCTTTGGAGAATAGCTTGACTCCCTCTTCTTCGGGGCAGCCCCTGAGATACTGGAACACTGCTATCATGTCCCCCCTGGTCCTTCTCTTCATTAAACTAGACATACCCAATTCCAGCAACCGTTCCTTATATGCTTTAGCCTCCAGTCCCCTAATCATCTTAGTTGCTCTTCTCTGTACTCTTTCTAGAGTCTCAGCATCTTTTTTACATCGCGGTGACCAAAACTGGATGCAGTATTCCAAGTGTGGCCTTACCTTAGATGAACTGAATCTTTATTATCAGGGAAGACTGCTTCAATTGCATCACCAATATACAGGAAGAGATTACAAGTTCAAAGAAGAGACGACATTGGGAAGAAGTTTATATCGGGGAGACCATTTGCAGCCAAGCTAATGCAAGTCAGGAAGAATCTCCTTCCTAACTTCTGTTTGGGAAACCAGCCAAATCAGGATGTTCCCTCCCCAAACTTTCCACCTTTAGAGAGAAGAACCACCTACTACAGAGCTAGTTGGTGTGATTTATGGTCCATAGACTAGAGCAGCGGTTCTCAACCTATGGGTCGCGACCCCATTTGGGGTCGATCGACCATTTCACGGGGGTCGCCAAGCAAGGCTGTCCGCCATTTTTTCCCCCTTTTCCGGCGGGTGCCTTACCTCCCTTGGGCTGGGCCAGCTGGTGGTCGGCCTGCTCCGTCTCTGCCGCTTGCCAGCTACGCCTCGGCCGGCGCAGGGGGTGGAACCACGCATGCGCGGTGCTCCCGGGCAGGGAAAGTCCTCGACTTACGACCGGTTGGGTAGTCCTCGACTTACGACCGGTTTAGTCCTCAACTTACGACCGGTTTAGTCCTCAACTTACGACCGGTTGGGGGTCGCGGCATTAAAAAGGTTGAGAACCACTGGACTAGAGTTTGATGCTACCACCAAGAGGTAAGCAAGAGTAGGTTGGATCAAACATACTTACATTTCCTTTCACCACGTAATTTGAGTCATTCCTGATGTCTCTTGCAAGGCCAAAGTCACATATTTTTGTTATCCGTCCATGGGTAAGTAATATATTCCTTGCTGCCAGGTCTCTGTGAATGCACTGAAGGAATACATTTGCAGAATGTACATGTTAGGCAAATAAACCAAAATAACCATCAGCACTGCAGATTACTATATTCAGTGATTCATAGTAGAACTCAGTTTTTTGAAGATAAGAGTATATGGATTCAAGAAAACACAAAACAGGTACATGCGGTCATTATATATACGAGATGGTCCTATATTGACACAAAAATATGCATTTCAATCTTCTACACGTTTTTTTAAAGATTTCATTGAATTTTATAGGGTTAGGGATAGAATAGGATCGGGATGGGGATTAAGGTTTAGGGTGGGGTTAGGATTAGGATTGGGATGAGGACAAGGTTGGGATCAACATTGGGGTTATCCCTCAATAACATTTTCAATCTTCAGCAAACAGACTATTTTCTTCAGCAAACAGACTATGTTTAATTAATAATTTGATATAGTAATAAATAATTGTAGTAAATGTAATAAACAATAATCACAAACAGTGTCAGTTAGTCAATGCATATCATTTTTCTTACTAATATATATTCAAAATACCATATCACATTCATTTCTTACTAGTTTGTTTTCCTAACCATTGGTAAAAATTATCCCATGTTCTAAAGTAAACTGAATCTTCTTTCTCTTTAATCTCTATCCATTTCTGCACATTCTAAAATTTTCTTAATTAAAACCTCTTCAGTTGGTAAATTTTCATTTTTCCAGCATTGGGCAAATGCTATTCTCGCTGCTGTCAGTACATGCAATATTAAATATTCATTCTCCTTCTCATAACTAGGTCCTAGTATTCCTAACAAAAACAGTTCTGGTTTAAAATCTATCTGTCTTTTCATCATCTTTTCCAACCATGTATGTATCTTAAATCTTGTACACATTTCTGTTCACAAGTCATATCATTAAGATGGCAGTTGGTTTTTTCCTTTCTCAACCCCTCTGATAGGTCAAAACATGCTTCAGAAGAAATGTTCTGTGGAAACCAATGGCATAGGCTTCTATGTAAACTTCAGGTTAGGAATGTGTTTATTCACGATTTCTAAATTAAAGTACAATCTTATGACTTCCGGGACAGAGTCTGTGGGCCACGGTACCATTTGGTTTCTTCTTTCTGAGTCTGGAGACAGGATTCTGATCTTCGGAAGAGTTACATCTAATTTCCTCCTTCTTTGTACACCAGCCCACAAGGTTGGATCTTGTTTAGATTTGGAAATTCTTATCGCAGAAATTGACAGAAGTCACAGATGTCGGAGGAGGAGGAGAAATAGAAGGATCCCTCCTCCAGGTGCCAGTACAAAAGACTGTGGATATCGACAGTTTTTGCTTATTTATTTCAAGTAACATAGGGCTCCTCACATCAAGACATTGCATATTTGAGGCCAAACATGCAATATAACATTTTTAGAAGTTACGTAACCGGGCACTGAAGAACTTGCAGATTTCCTATCTATCTGCAACTGGAGATGCCTTGCCAAAAATTGGTGCTTACACACTGCTTATCTGATATACGGGCAAAGACTAAAAAAACTGGGACCTAATGATTTTACAGGATAATACAGGGATTTTACTTCTGTATTTATTAAAAGCCTAAGACTGAAAATCAGGCTTGTCAGATGCTATATTTTTTCTATCCTGCTCTAGGGAGTGGAGAGTTGGTCTCTGACAGAAGGCCACCTGAAGAGACTAGAAGCATTTGAAATGTGGATTTACAGGCAGCTGTTACGTATAAGCTGGGTTGACAAGATCAGAAATGAGGAGGTGATAAGCCGCCTGGGAAAGCCAAGGGAAATCATCAAAACAATTAAAAAACAAAAATTAGAATATTTCGGATATGTGATGCGACACCCAGAAAAATACGGCATACTCCATTTAATCCTACAGGGAAAGATTGAAGGCAAACGATGTCCAGGCAGAAGAAGAACATCGTGGCTTCAAAATCTATGGGACTAGTTTGGACAAAACTCAGCAGCACTTTTTTGTGCGGCTGCTAATAAAAACATGATCGCCAACATGATCGCCAACGTCCGATAACGGATATGGCACAAGAAGAAGATTTATTAACAACGAAAATACAGAGAACATCATGACTCTTATACAAAAGGCTTCCCTGGGTATTCAAGTCTTTTCCCGTGTAAGATTGAGAGTATCTTGGCGACGTTTTGACGAGGTCCCACTCGTCATCTTCAGGCTGGGGTCTTCGGCTTCGTGCTTGTGCGAGCAAAGTGTGATCGGAGCTGCCGTCTCTCTATAAATATTGGTGTGTGTGTGTGGAGTGCTGGCTTTGTTGCTGTAGGTGGGTTGGTTGGCTGTGTTGGAGTTATTGTTTGCGGATTGTTCGGCTGTTTCGTAACATTCTGAGTAGCTGAGGTGCTGGCTGTGTGCCCATTAGTCTTTTGTGTTGTAACGACCTGGGTAATGGGCTGTGTGATGACATCCTGAGATCTAGTGTAGTGTAGTGTAGTGATATCCACAGAACTCAGGATAGATATTAAATTGACATACTCCCTATATATATATACTGTACAAATCAATTTTCTTGAGTTTCTACTTACATTTTTAGATGAAAGAAAGCTCATCCCTTTTGCTACCTGGTAAGAAAAACTTAATAGATCTTCAACATCCAGAACCAGTTCATCATCTTCTAAAATGGCAACAGTGACATCCTGATTAGCCAATGACCCTAAGCAGAACATGTGGGAACAGTAAGTGGAGAAATTATGCCACTGGGAAACAGAGCGGACATTTTATCAACAGAGAATGGCACTAAGACCCTACAGAAATGCTATTCAGATACACTGTCATTTAACTTTAAAAAAAAAAAAGAATGTAAATTTACCCAGCCAATATAACACTGTAAAATTGTTTTCACTTTTTTTTAACCTAAATTTTATTTTAAGTTTTTATGTATAAACAAATATCAACAATTTCAGAACAAAAGCTCTCCCCCTTCCCCCCCCCCCCAAATTACCTAGTCTTTTAGTGGTTTTGGCGTGGACAACTTGAGAAACTCCTGGTTTCATGTCCATGTACTCATTGGTGGCATCACTGTGTGGAAAGCAGAAGAAATATGAGACTAATCCATGCACGGAGTTCTTTGCATCTCAAATAAAGAACATCTTTTACAAGAACAAAGGAAGCATGTAAAATCTTCAGTTGCTAAATAACCACATTTCTTGAAAAGAGATGGAAATCTATTATTAACCTGTTGAAAGGTGAAGATATCTGGCTATGGGACTGTGAGTGCTACATAGGATTGTGAGTGCTATATTTGAATTCTGACATTTTACGGGAAAGGATCTTAGAACTAATCATGAAAAGACAGTTTAAATAATAGGTTATTTGAGCTGAAAAAGGTTAATTTTCTTTATGGAGCCAAAAAGCTTTCCCCTCTTCCAAAAGCTATCTTGTTGTAGGAAATTCCCTTTATTAATTGATTGACCTCCTTAGAAATGATTTATCACTGACTTTGTTTGAATAACACAAATTAAATAAGAAAGTAGCAGATCGTAATGTTAGAGGTCTTTTTGTGTGCAGGTAATTTTTTTGTTAGGAGGAATAGTTTATCTTGGCCTGATAAGTTTTTTTATCTGATTATTTAAACCTCCTAAAAGAATTTCTACTTCATATTACACACTTTGGGCAAAAATCATTTAAAAATTAAAAGGTTTTGATCTTTTTTTTAGCTTGGAGCACCTGACCATATAGCTATCTGCATCTTGTCTAACTAGCTGACAGATCCAAGCCAACTTTGGCTAGTTCAAAAAACTAAGAAATGGATTTCTTTAGCACTTTGATAGGAGACCATGTAATAGTAAGTACAGTTGTTGTGGGCCTGAATAATTTGGATAATTAAATAGAACAATATTTGTGACCCAATGGGTTAGTTGGAAAAGATGCCCGGAGGAAATGAACTGGACTATGATTATTTATCTGATTATTTAAACCTCCTAAAAGAATTTCTACTTCATATTACACACTTTGGGCAAAAATCATTTAAAAATTAAAAGGTTTTGATCTTTTTTTTAGCTTGGAGCACCTGACCATATAGCTATCTGCATCTTGTCTAACTACCTGACAGATCCAAGCCAACTTTGGCTAGTTTAAAAAACTAAGAAATGGATTTCTTTAGCACTTTGATAGGAGACCGTGTAATGGTAAGTACAGTTGCTGTGGGCCTGAATAATTTGGATAATTAAATAGAACAATATTTGTGATCCAATGGGTTAGTTGGAAAAGATGCCCGGAGGAAATGAACTGGACTATGATTCTTAAATAAATGTGTAAGTCTCGAACGAAGCAGATATGTCCCAACAATCCACTTCAACGAGCTGTTTTGCTTTACCAATACGAGTTGCTTTGTTTTAACACATCTCCAAAATGTCAAGGCTGATCTTCCTTGAAATGACCATTTCATTTTGCAAACTGGGGCTCTATACAGGCAGGCACAGAAATCCTTGTTCTCAAGCAAAGTGAAGCACTGAGGCTTCTTTTCCATCTGTAGGAGATGACCAGGCGGAGCCCAGGGGAAGGGTCAAACGCATCATCAGTCATGAGTCCCTTTGTCCCCACAAGAGATGTTAAGTCCAGCCCACCTTGAATTCCAGTGACTCTTTATCTACCACCAATTTGCTTGGGACTGTTAGTAGTTCAGATTCTTGTAGAGCTTGCAATAAATCTTTTATACCCATTTGAACTGGCTGGATCTCCTGATTCCCCTGGCGCTTGACAGAGTCACTGCTTCACGGAATCATTCTGAAAAATGGACTTCCCTGGAATTCCTGAGGATGCTAAATGCCCTTAGAAGCCCTAGATATTCTTATTAAACTCCGACTACTGTGCCCATTGTGTTTAAGATATAAATGCTCCCTGTCTGGATTGCAAATATCTTAAATCAGTCGTTTGTATAAAAACTGATGCTTTCCTAGAAAGCTATTTTCTATTCTAGAGCCTCTGTTTGCCTTATAATGGAAACATATCAGGAAACCAACTCCACAGGACTCTATAGCAGTGATGGCAAACTTATGGCATGGGTGCCAGAGGCGGCACGCAGAGCCCTCTCCGTGGGCACACACACCATCGCCTCAGCCCCACCTCCTCCCACGGCCCCCTCCATACCAGCAGCCCCCCGGAAGAGAGTCGCCCCCAGGCGTGGCCCGCGCAGAGGAGCGTAGCCAAAGACATGGCAGCTGGGCAGCAGGGACAAGACTCCACCCTCGCGCCCCATCGTGCGCAGATGATGATGCAGGCTGCGGGTGGAGGGCGTGGCCGCCATGGCGTGGCACGGCCGCCTGGGCAATCTGTGGCGGGCTGTGGAGGTGGTAGGTGGCCCAGTGGGCAGGGGGTGGGGCAGGGGTGGCATGCCTGGGTTACAGTAATACACTATTACAAGTCTGCCTGTATTTTAGCCTCCCTCCCTCTTACTCCCCACCCCACTGAGTCAGGGAGGAGTCATTGTTCTTAATGCTACCTATTTTCTCGCAACTTAAGGAACGCTTCTGCACATGTTGTTTCTACAAAAGATTCTGAATGTTCCCTTCACGGCCATCTCTGTGGCTCTCTATGGTTTGGCAAAGTGCTAAATTATAAACCCCCAACTTTGTTTCTGATCTCAAATCACAATACTCAAGTTTCCAAAGCTGTGTCTTACAATTTTTTTCATGACAAAATAAAGACAAAAACTTGGTTTCCATTCAAGTTTAACACATCAAAGTTACTCAAAAATACATCCCCCAGTGTGAACTACTCAATCCAGCTATTCAGGTGAAACCATTATACAAGTATCTTGTCCTATTGTCATTATCTAGGGCAGGGGTAGGCAACCTTGGCTCTTTTATGACTCGTGGACTTCTAGAATTCCTGAGCCAGCATGGCTCAGCTTGGAAACCTCTCCATTTCTCCTCAGCATGGCTGGCTCAGGAATTCTGGGAGTTGAAGTCCCCGAGTCATAAAAGAGCCAAGGTTGCCTACCCCTAACCTAGACTCTCTACCATTCTACCTCTCTTTTTGAAATATATAGCATGTGGACAATGAACTGTTGCTCAGCCCCTGATGAATGTATATAAAACTTAACGATAAAATCAAAAGAAAAATTGAAACTCCCTCTTAAATAGAAGACTAAGTGCTAGACTGGCACCATTAATGCAGAATCTGCATCTTTGTACAGAAATCAACTTATTTGGTGGATTTTGACCCAGACTATTGAATAAGATTATATGAAAGATGCATAGAGTACATATACCGTACTGGACACAATTCTGAAGAATTAGTGAATTTATAAATTTAAAAAACCCAACCCTTCCCTGCCTGCACACCTCTCGTAAAAGAGGCACAAATTTGTAAAAGCCAAAAGCAAACAAAAATGCACTGTGATTTCCTGGGAATAACTGCCAATTCTGGCAACACAGCCTTACTACATGTGTTCTTTTTGATAGAGAATATTCTTGTAAACAGCAGTTTCTTCAGGCCTCTGGCAAATAAAGGATTCCCGTTTCCTCCTTAGGAAATTCAAAAGGTCACCATAACAGCAATATTCAGTGATGACCAGAGTAGGACCTGCAGATGTAAAGGAAGTTGAAGAGTGGGTGAATTCTGCATTCTGTCTGAGACTCTTTTTTTTTTTTTAATTTAAAAAAAAAGATTATTTGTCTTCATGTACAAAAATGGGCCTTTTCAAACCACACTACAGATTTGTGTTTTGGCTTGAAAAGTCAGAGCAAAATTACATCAGCAGCTTCTTTATTCAGAAGCTGGGTTTTCATCCCAATTAAAATGCGGTCATTTCCAATTAATTATTCCTGCACATCAATAGTACTGCAGTGCAGAAACACACACACAAACACACACACACTAAGTAAACTGTGTGATAATGGCACAAACCAGATACATCTGCTTCATTTTAAAGTCTCCTTCCTGAAGGAACATCTCCGTTCCAAATACAAGCTTTTAACACTTATTCTTTTGATTTAGCCCATTTATTATTCATATAGTAATGTTAGAAACAACATTAAATATTATAGTTCTTAGTGTAATAGGGAAAAAAGCACACATTTGGACAGAACAGCCTATTAAGACTGAAAGCCAGATGCTAGAAAATGTTAAAGATAAAAAAATGGCAGAATCATGTTCTCTATAGTACAAAATATTTATTAGCCTGGTGTCTAATAAAAAAAATGGATTATATAATAATATTATCTGGAATTTCAATTATTGAATGCTGGGCTGATGCAAGTAGATCATAACAATTCTCTTAACTATCTTAAAACATATTTTGGCAACTAGCCTTCTAGAAGGTTTGTCAAAGTAAAATTACTACTTGTTTACGCTGAGATGGATATAATAAAAAGACCTTTAACCACTAGTTGGAGCAGAAAGACACAGATAAAGATACAGATAGCCTTATTTACTACATAATACAGTACATAATCGAACAAAGCACACAGTTTGAAGGCTCCTGATCGGTATTCTTGTTAAATCAAATGGATTCACTCTGAAAATACTCCATATTTTTTTTCTCCACCCACGAAAGATAAGCCTGCATTACATGTCTATCGAGAGCCTTTGGAGTGCTCTTCCACAGAGTTTGCTCTTAATTAGTGTTTGAAGCTTTGTAAACTTTTGTGTTACCTGAACAAGCTGATGGCTCTTTTATATTTAGATTATGCCCATTCTGTCTTTATGACACTTCCCAATCTTGAAGTAAGGTGACCATCAGTACAGTATGCCAGACTGGGTTCAAAATGGAAGGATTAATTATTTAGGCTGAGATACACAGACATTATGAATTCCTTGGGGTGCCAGAGTAATGAGTCCCAGAAGAAATGAAAACCAGCTTTTTCCCTCTCTGCTTGGGCTCAGATACTCAGTCAACTCAGTCAACTCTGAAGTGTGAATGGGACATCCCTCCCTTTTCTTCTGAAGGTACTCAAACACCCATCAAAATCCTACCTCCAATAGTACAGGCTCCAAGTAGGTTGACAATATTAATGTGATTGCCAAGATAACTCAACACCTTCAGTTCTGACATCAAGGCTTCTTTTTCGGTGAAATGAGCACTGGCTAGAAAAGAAAAGATGGAACTCAACAAATCGACGTGAATAAAGAGGAATGTTAGATATGTTTCCCGTTTTTGAGTTTACAGTATAAAAAAAACAGTAAAGGCGGGATAAAAACCAACAAACAAGCCTATTATGTAGTATTCCAGGGGTCTTCAAACTTGTCAACTTTAAGACTTGTGGACTTCAACTCCCAGAATTCCTCAGCCAGCCAGGGCTGGCTGAGGAATTCTGGGAGTTGAAGTCCACAAGTCTTAAAGTTGACACGTTTGAAGACCCCTGTAGTATCCCAATGTCCAATGACACTGAAGAATGAATCTGGTCCCATATTGCTGGGTAGCTGCCAAAAGTCCTACCTATGTAATGTTAGCTTTTTTTAAAAAAAAATAATTTAAATAAATTATTGGGAAGCTAAGTTAATATACACAAATTCTTCTGAGCTAATAGAGGCCAGGAACATTTTTAGGGAATAAAATGATGGAGGGTCTAGCACAGGGGAAGGCAACCTTGGCTCTTTTATGACTCGTGGACTTCAACTCCCATAATTCCTGAGCCAGGAGGGAAAGCAACCAGCTTACAGCCACCACAGTGAGTATTTTGTGAATGGCTTTAAGGCTGCTGTTGTACCTGCCCTTTGGAACAACAAACCCCTGCAGATTTGTTTGGCCCTGGCCCCGCAGCTGTTTCCTATGTCTTTGAAGGACATAGGAGCTTGTAGGTTGGACAAGCCTATCATTGTG